TAATCAGTTCCCTGCTTACAGAAACTAAAGCAAACAGATTGCCAGTTAGATAAAAACAGAATATGGAACCCTTTACAGAAATCTATGACAATCACTGTGTCATAGAATATCATTTCAATCTGAACACAAAGCCAAGTAAAAAAAAACCCTCAGTGTTCTTCCTAGATCTTCCTTAATTGGATGCCTCGGTACACAGTGACTGGGTCCATCTAGCAGCAATAATCTTGACGCTGTGTCTTTCATAGTCCCATTTCTCTTCTGTTCAAGTCTTATGCTGTTGTCATAGTCATGATGATAGTGATCTATAAGAATAAAGGAACAATGATGTCCAAACTGGTATGTTAAATACATTTTATAAAGAAGCATGCATTACAAGGAATCTGCCCTCAATTACATCTATGGTACCGATGTGATGGGCTTGCACAGCTATAACTGGGAGAAAAAATTGCCCCAGTATGTTTACCAAATACAACTGCTAAATGTGATTAATTAATATAAATAATACACCAGGAGCCTCTGATTTTCATTGTCATTTTGTGTTACGCTATCCACCCATTAACAATTAAGACCCATTTTCTCCCTCCCTTACGTGGATCTACTGATGTCAGGGAGGCAGCCTCTCCCTTACGTGGATCTACTGATGTCAGTAGATGCTTGTAATAAAAAGCAAGCGTGGAGATCTTAGTATTTCATTTCGGTAGAATACTGTGATAGGTGCACTAATCTTCTTGGCACTGACCATGTTCCTGTTACACAGAACTGTTGCTAGAATTCTTCAGACTATGCAGATGCCATTGGTTATCATGACACTAACTTGATGCCCTGGGAAACATTCCAATAATAGGTTGGTCCCGGATTAGCATGTTCATTTACATGGCATACATTGTATATGCAGAGTTGGTCAGAGATAACTGTTTTGGGTAAAATATTACTGGAGAATGAATGTGTCATCCCATTATTATAAGTACTGTCGTCTTTGGTGCGCTTTCAGGTTTTATAGTAACTACTTCAGGTAGATGATTTCTCTGCTTCCAAGAACATATGTCATTTCACACTTCCAGAACAAAATCCCCATTGTTTCTCTGGCAGGACTCAGCCACAGCTGCTCTACTATGAACCCATCAAATTAAAATGGGTAACGAGACAGTTTGGCTAAACAACAGCCTGAAAGCTAGCATTCTTTTTCAAGCATGTATATGAAGGGAAAGACTGGGCAGGTCAAAGAAAAGGTGGGTAGAAATCTAATGATTCCAAATTATAAGACTAGGTGGAGCCAAAGGGGAGCAGTAGCCAACAGATAGAAATCTAATGATTCCAAATTATAAGACTTGGTGGAGCCAAAGGGGAGCGGTAGCCAACAGGCAGAAGTAAATGAGAGACCCATAACAAGGAAAAAACAAATGAAGCCACAGAAAGCAGATGAGACATAGAAAAGAGAGAGAAAGAGAAGAATGGGGCTTCAGATGACATCAATTTTTTACACTGGTGCAGCCAAAAAGAGCTGCACTGAGCCAGTCTAATAAACAGATGCTATGGCACTGTTGCACTTCCATGTCTAACCATTACACCATTTTAATACAATTCTATGAGGCATCCTGCCTCCCTTCCCTTGAGGTGCCATTCCTGAATCCTAACTCGCCTATGTTATGGATATTAGTTCCTGATGACAGACTCTTCTAGAAGGATCTACATGAGCATCCTACACAGGATAGACAGTAGCTGCAGTGCACTGCAGATCTTAGTACATACGGTTACTTGCAGCACTACTGAGCTTCTTTCAGACAACACTGCTTAGGGATTAATATGAAACACAAAGGAACACATAAATGCACGTCATGAGAAATGTTTCTTGTTCTTGTACAACTAGCCAAACTGGCAACAAGCCATTCAAAATAAAAAAAGAGCTAATACAAGAAAACCGATTGGTCTTATCTCTTCCTAGATAAATACTAGACTCACACTGAAGACATTTCTGGTTAATAACAGAAAAATAAATTATTATTCCTGGTGGAAAACTTATTTTCTCTTTCAGTGCAAACAACCAGATAGCAACTTAATGGCGTGCGTCAAAAGGTGGCAAGTCTATTACATTTTCATCTGACATGTGCATATTAGTTTTGTATTAACAGTGACATGGGATAATAAAAGTTAACACAATTCATACGAAGAATATATATTGATATGAGCTAATAATAATTTACAATGACAACTGGTATGTTCTGCAGACTGTGAATGAAATAGACTCCTGTTCAGAGAGTACTTACATGACTTTGCTCTACATGTGTGGGTCAGTTGTTCTGGGGGTGAATTTCACTCTGCAGATGTAAGGGTAAATCCATGCCCTAATGAAACACAATCACTTCTAGGAGGGAAACATGGCACTGGAGCAGTATGCCTGATCTAGAGACATAGATGCAAGAAGTAAGGGTGATGGGGGGTGTTGCAGGACTGCCCAGATTTTGTGCCTATGTCAGGGTCCCAGCTACCAGCCTGTACCCAGGGGCCCCACTGACACTTGGAGTCCTGGTGCCAGCTCCAGGGGTCCCAGCCACCAGCCCTGCTGTCTCTGGGAGTTCCAGCAACCAGCCCCTATCTACTACAGCATCCGTGCTGCATCTCCTGTAACACCCTAATGCCTCACCTGAATAGAAGCTTTCAGCCACAGTTACAGGACTATTAAATATACAACAGTTCTCCAGAGGTGCAGCACTGAATTAACTAGTTCAGGGCTTCTCATATTTCATTGTACTATGACTCTCTTCTGACAACAAAAATTACAGGACTAACCTCCCTTATCCGGCTCCCTCGGAACCTGAGTGGTCCCAAACCATGGAGTTTGCCAGACAAGGGGAGGTTAAGGCTCCCCACCCGGCTACAGAATCTGCTCCCAGATGGGGTTGTGCTCCCTGCCACTGCCTTCAGCCCCCTACCATGCCAGCTCTGACTGGGGCTGTGTCCCCCACTGTGCCAGCCCAGGGCAGGACTGTGTTCCTGGCCACTGAACCTGCTGCCTCCAGCCCCGGCTGGGGCTATGCTTTTTATTGTCAGCCCTGGCCAGCGCTGTGCTCCTCACTGCCAGCTCAAACGTGGCTGTGCTTCTGAACCTGGCCAGCCGGGGCTCTCTGGTCCAGCAATATCTGTGGTCCTGCCTGACCATGGATGTTGCTAGATCAAGCCCTGAGTCTGGACACGGCCTAGGTGATCATGCAACCAATTCTGATTAGCTACACAAACTGAAAAGATCACAGCGCAGGATGCTCTTGCAGCTATTAGTTTCAATAAGAAAAAATATTTTTTTAAAAAGAAAACATAATACACTTTTTCATAATACAGCAGTCAACAGCCAGCCTCTGAGTCAAATTGCTGCTCTAACTCTTCTCTGCAAGTTGCCCTAGTAAATGGCCTTTCAAAAAAGAATCTAAGAGGGGCAGGAGGTAAGAACCCCTCCAAGATTGTGTGCTATCACTGTACAATCACTCACAGCCCATAGTTTGAGACAGTAAGGTTTATTGTGCTCTGCATGGGGGGAGCTAGGTCTATGGATCCACATTTTGACAGATGCACTGGTGACTTTCCAATCAACCTTCCAGGTTAGTATGAAGAGAGACAAGAGGAGGCCTCAGAAACACTTGAGACTTACATTTTATTTTTAGACATTTTATTTCAAGAATTCTTGTTTTAAGTTCAATATAATGGTTCAAGATTTGCCCTTAGTTACACCCGTTGGCTATGTCTACACTGGCCCCTTTTTCGAAAGGGGCATGCTAATTTTAAACTTCGGAATAGGGAAATCCGCGGGGGATTTAAATATCCCCCACGGGATTTAAATAAAGATGTCCGCCGCTTTTTTCCGGCTTGGGGAAAAGCCGGAAAAAAGGGTCTAGACTGGCCCGATCCTCCGGAATAAAGCCCTATTCCGGAGGATCTCTTATTCCTACTTTGAATAACGACACAGCAACCACTCAGCACGACGGTGGCAGCTACACTGAGGCTCAGTACCTCAGAAAGAAGTTACTGGCAACACAATGCGGTTGAATCCTAGGTGACGCTATGGATGATGCACCGCGTGCTTGTGAACACGGTGTAAAACAGCCTAACGGCAGCGCCTGTTCACTTCGTGTGACTTTGGACAATATTCCTGTGGACCACCGAAAAAGTCACCATAGACCACCAGTGATCCATGGACCACCAGTTGAGAACCACAGGCCTAGATAATATTTCTTAGAGGCTTGCCTCAGTTGAGGGCTCCAGGATAGGCACTGTGTTTTCCCCGGCTTCCTTTCCTAAGAGGTCACAAGGTCATCTTTGCTTCAAGGACATATCTCAGTGACTTTATCTCAACACCGTCAAAAGGTTAAAAAAAAAACCCAAAATTTATTATGATTATATAAAGAAAATCTACCTATGCCAAAATACATATAGTACAGAACATATCCAGTTTCATAACTGGCTTGAGCTAAGCTACAGGTAAATACATCTCATGTGTGGTTCTCCTTTTCTCCCTCCTGACCCTTTCAGCCACTCACTATGTGTCAGAAGCACATATATCTAATTGTCTCATGACCTGCTCTCTTTCCTTCACACAACCCTTTCAGGTTCCTCTGACATGCCTGGCATATTATAACAGCAGTCAGCTTTCTACAGCCAAGTGGTAAATCCCAGGTCTGTCTCCAGAAACATTCTTGTAATTGTCCCAGGTCTGTCTCCAGAAACATTCTTGTGATTGTGCCTGAACTGTTCAAATCCTATGTTCCTGTTCCTCTCTTGCATGTTAGCACCTCAACTAAATATAACATGTCTACAAGCCTGTCTACTTCTTGCACAGCTCTTTGTATCCATGCCTTTTTGCAGGTGTCGCTCAGATTACTCCATATACAATATGAATTGTGGACAAATTAATTGTCTTATCACAATTCATTAGAAATGCACAGTATGTTAAGAAAGTCATACCAACTCTACACTCCCTGGGCCTGATTTTCAACACCTCAGAATGTGTGCAAAATTAATATGATCTGTGCATTGAAATACGGTGAGCATGTGAAAATTAGGCATTTGCGTGTGCTGCCTTTGGCATCTGAGTTTATGGAAATTAGTCCCACTTTATGTTAATTAAGAAATCTGTTTTTGTTTATGCAGTATCCACTAAAATGCATGAATTAAATAAATATGACCTCCCCATACAGCCGCCAGAAAAGATGGTTTATCTAAAATACCTAGTAAATATTTAATGAGCCCAGAGCTCATGTAAACGTAATGTTAATAGAAGCCATGGAACAATTCTCTGTCTCTAGTTGTTTTAGCCTGTCCAGCTATAATGAGAATATTGCTTTAAATGTATAAAACGAATGAATAAAATCCATTTAAATATGAAGGTGAATTATTCCAGTTGATGAAAACAAGCTAATCATTTGGCTTCAGCCCAATTATCATTCAGTCTACAGAGTTAACCTGGATTCTTACCATTGAAAATGATAGAAGAAAGAACCCTGTAGATACTATTCTAGTGGGGTATGGGGTGGGAAAATAAGACAGAAAAATTATTTAAAAAATGGAAGGGGGTGCAAATGTGCTTCGTCATCCCAGGGACTAAAATGTCTAATTACAGCTCTCAGGCTGCTGATTAGAGTCAAGCTGGTATGGGAAACTGACCATAGTATGGAATTGTAACCCCTTTTATTCTGACTCTAAGGGTATGTCTGCACTACCACCCTAGTTCGAAATAGGGTGGTAATGTAAGCAACCGGAGTTGCAAATGAAGCGCGGGATTTGAATTTCCCGGGCTTCATTTGCATCTCGCCGGGCACCGCCATTTTTAAATGTCCGCTAGTGCGGACTCCGTGCCGCGCGGCTACACGCAGCATGGAGTCCGCACTAGCGGACATTTAAAAATGGCGGTGCCCGGCGAGATGCAAATGAAGCCCGGGAAATTCAAATCCCGCGCTTCATTTGCAACTCCGGTTGCTTACATTACCACCCTATTTCGAACTAGGGTGGTAGTGCAGACATACCCTTAGAGTCAGAATAAAAGGGGTTACAATTCCATACTATGGTCAGTTTCCCATACCAGCTTGACTCTAATCAGCAGCCTGAGAGCTGTAATTAGACATTTTAGTCCCTGGGGTGACGAAGCACATTTGCACCCCCTTCCATTTTTTAAATAATTTTTCTGTCTTATTTTCCCACCCCTCTAGATTTGTGCCACATATAATTGCCCCACTCTTCCTGCCCTAGTTACACCCCAGAGAGGTCCTGATTCAGAAATAAGGGCTCAATTAAGTAACATAATCCTATTTATAATTGTGTTCTTTTATAAACAGGCTTGTTGACATACAAGAAAGATTCTGACGAGGGGCATGTAATATTATTATTATTGATAATAATAATATATTACTTTTCTTTATATTATGTGGGATTCACTCATTAACATTTCCCACAACTTGGTCTCACGAGTTTGCTTTCTGAAGGATGTACCTTGCAAGAATAGGTACTAATAACAAAAAGGAACATCAGATTTAGACACACAGGAAAATTTGTGTTTATAGTGACCGCTACTTTAACTTGCTTGGGCACTCATTAATGTATCTAAAAGTGACTGTCTTCTTACAAAGCAATTTCAGAAACCAGCTAGAAAGAGAAATTGCAGAAATTGCCTTTATATGCAAATTTGACACATTTAACCAAGGTCGGAAGAAAGACATAACAACCCATCCAGTTCATATTCAACACCCAAATGACATCAAAAGCACTAATACCCCACTCTATTAGCCTCATTTAGCATGGACATTTTAATTTACAAGGTTTTGGGGGGGTTTTTTCCCTCTTTC